AAGAGAAACTGTCTGGAAAGAGCAGAGCAGGCTCTCTCTTCTCTCCTGCTGTAATTTGGGCACAGAAGAGTCCTGTGAGGTGGAGACCTTCTGCTGGAGGGGGACACCCCGAAGCCCCACTGCTATGGCTGGATGCTCTGACCCCTTCCCTCTGCTCTGTCCCCAGTAAAGGTGCAGTGCAGGCTGTTCAGGCCCAGAACCAGATCTGCGTCCTTGACATTGACATCCAGGGCGTGAAGAACATCAAGAGGACAGACCTGAACCCCATCTACATCTCCGTGCAGCCTCCGTCCATAGACATCTTGGTGAGCGACCGCCTTCCTTTGCCGTTAGGCAGTTAGAGGTAATCAGCGTCTTGCTCTGAAGCGATGGGGGGTTCCCCCCTCGTTGGTTCATCTGTATGTTTTTAAGGACCATAGAGTAGGTGGGGAGGACATTTCTGAGCACGCTGTTACCTCTGCCCGGCCCAACTCCCCAACCTCTGGCTCCCAGGGATAAATATTCCTGCGCTCTGGTTTTTGAGTCCCTCCTATACAATTGCCACACTGTGGCGTTTGCCTGCATTGGATTATAGACTCCATTGCAGCATGGCAGGCCTCTAAATGCATCAGTTGTGCTTGACGCTGGGGAGAGAAGGAGATTTTTGTGCTGAGGTTTCCCTCCCAGCAATTAAAAGTTAAAACGAGGGAGGCTGGTTCTCTGCAGCACCAGAAATCCTATACCCCTCTGGTCTTATGGGATCCGATATAATAACGGTTGCAGTGTGCCTCTCGCAGAAGTGAAATCACTGTCGTGGTTCAGAGAGGGATGTGGACACATACACACGACTTGCTGAAGCCGTGCAAGGAGTACGTGGCCGTGAAGGCCGCAACTCCTGGCTCTCCTGTCTTGTTTTCAGTGGATCAGGCAGTCCGTGTTTCTCCTTGAGGAAGGAAGCCAACAGCACCAGATGCCGGAGGCAGCAGAGAGAATTCATCTCTCAGCAGTACCTGCAAAAAAAAATAAATACAGGGAGGTGGAAAAAGAGAGTGGGAACCTGAGCTCTGGGTAGGAGATGTTGAGCCCAAACCCAGCTTGGCCACTGGTTTGCTCTGGGGTGTGAATGAGGCCCCTTTCTCACCCTTTGCGGAGTGTTACCTCGCACGCCCGTGGTCGCCGGCGGTGGCAAATGGCAGACGGCACTGATGCGTGGTGGTTTCTGCCTGCAGCATTTGGAACGCACATTTCTTTAATGTGTTTGTCGTTGGGTTTAGGAAAAAAGACTGCGTGACCGAAAGACCGAGACAGAAGAAAGTTTACTGAAGCGTTTGACTGCAGCCCGCGTAGATTTGGAACTTAGTAAGTCCAGGGGCCTTTGAGTGATTTGCCTGGGGAGAAGGGATGCTTTGGTGATTCAGGAACTGTTTTCTGCATGAACGTCTGACTTGTGTTCTCCAAGGAGCGCTGGCAGGGCTTGGACATTAGCTGAGTTTGATCTAAACACTGTACTGCATCATTTCCCACCGCAATTCCTTGTGGGTAGTTTGCAGAGAAGCTCATTAGCAGTGGATGAAATAATAATATTAAAATGCCACAGGAGCTCGGGTCATTCACGAGAGATGACACAGGCAAAGAACACGTTCTCCTCTAACTCCTCTGTCGTCGTCTCCTTCCCCAGGTAAAGAGCCTGGCCTGTTCGACTTGGTCATTATTAATGATGATTTAGAACAAGCCTATTCCGAATTGAAGGAGATACTCCTGGAGGTGAGTCGTTTGGGGCTTTTCTGCCTTGCTCCCCGGGCTGGCGGGACCTCTAGGCTGAGCAGGCGAACCTCTGTCTATAGGCAGCTAAAGAAACATGGCCTCGCGCCCACGCTTGGTCTACTTGGAGCTGCTGAGTGACATAGTTGAAGACGAATTGCGTGAAAGCGATGGTGGATCAGTGGCCTAAGAGTAGGAAACGGATCCAGTGCGATACTGGGTTAGGGGGAAGACAAACACACATCCCTGGGCGGTGTGGAAGGGGTGTGGGTTTTTTGAAGAGCCTCAAAGTCAAACTGTGCCATGTCCCTAATGGCTCGCGCGTAAACTCTGGCCTTGGTCCTCTGATGCTGTGGAGCTGCTCTGAGGAGATGATCGCTCGTGGTCTCCGGAGATGTGAAACTATGAGTTGTTCCCAAAGAGTGGCACGTGCTCAGCTGTTTTCCTGCTCTCCTTGCAGGAAATCAAGAAGACGCAAGAATCCAGGAAATCCTGAGCTGAGCCTGCTTGGATCATTTAACTTTGCACAGCATTCCCGAAGAACGTCCCACCATTTCATTCCGAGAGACATTCCCTTTAGGCTGATCCTCCTCCCGAGTTACTCTAGGATGTTTCTATTAAAAGGAAAGAAAAGGAAACCTCATCAGACTTGTGTTTTCTGTTCGGCCTGGGCTCTCCCAGGTTTGTACCTCGGGGCAGATGCTTCGGAAGCGATTGCACGGCATCGCCCGCTGAAGCTGAGCCGTTCTGCGAGGCTGTAGAGGAGCTGTCGGGGCAACTGCAGCCCCGGCACGTGGCTTAGGATCCCACTGCAATATTTGTGGAGGTACATGTTGTGCCAGCGAATGCCACTGGGCAAGGGGGAGCTATTTGGACCGATGTGACCCCCGTTTCCACCTGCAGACAGAGGATCTCCCGTTTTTACTGGCTCCTGATGTCACAAGCGTTGGCATCCTCTTGCTCCCTCTGGTTCCTGCTTCCCTTTGCGGATCCGGCTACGGCTCCTCCGGGTGTTTCTCATCGTCTTTGCGTGCCACCCTCAGCCGTGGCGGTGTCGTGTTGTGTCGCTGTGGCCAAGCAGCATGTCGGCACAGCTTGGCTGCTCTAACCACAGTCCTTGTGACTGTGTGTGTTTAATAAGCCGAGAGGAGAAGGGAAATGGTTGCAGGATACGATCTATCCGCTGCCTTTTTTCTGGGGGAAAAGTACTGTGAGGTTCTCCTCGCTGCCAGCCTGGCAGCAGTCTTGTCATTCACTGGTACTTTGTTGTTCCACTTGAGTTTTGGTGCAGGTAGATTTTTAGATGCTCTCATACTTAGAAGTTGAAGGAGAAATTATTTCTTTTTCAAGCTCCTGCAGCCTTTTGGGATGATGTCCTCTTCCTAGGAGGGATCCATTTGATCTATCCCTGTCCCTCGTACTGGTCTCCAGCTTGAGATGTGGAGAGCTTTGCTCGAGGAGGGCGGGCAGGATGCTTTGCATTTCTCTCCCCATGCTTTCTTCAGCCTTAACCTTGATGCTTTCATGTAACTTCTGAGCCCTTTGGTCCCTCCAGCAGGTCATATTCTGAGCCTCCTCGGAGGGGCTGGTTCCTCATCCCTATACTCAAAGCCCCATCACCTTCATCAGAGGTGAGTGTGGGAGATAGATGAGCAACGTTGCCCCTGGTACCTCCAGGTGGTTAACCTGGTTTTGGGCTGCAGGGAGGAAGGAACAGTTGCTGCGAACAGGCAGCTCGTAGGGTCGCTTGTCCCAGAACCTCTTGTCCTGGAGGACGCAGATGGTTTGTGTTTGATCCTTGAGAAATGGTGAGTCCCGCAGAGCTGCCATCCCACAGGTGGTGTCTTCCAGTCGTCTTCCCCCCCCAAAACCAAACCCAGATCAAGCTGGCCTCATGCAGGCCAGGAGCGGCTGGACCTTGCGGTGCCAGGCTGTGATATCTTCTCTCCAAAACCATGTCTTACCAGGGCAGGCTTGAAACTTAAACTCAACCCTTGGGTTTCATCCTCTTCATATCCTGTCTCTCCAGTTTACCCAGCTGCTCTGCTCCAGCACACCTGTGGTCCCTCTCAATCCAGGTCACCTCCTAACTTATCAAGCTCCATCCTCCACGTTGTGGATGCCGGTAAGCCGAACCAGACCTTGGGTGACCCTTTTAGTACCTCGCTTGCATTCAGGAAGATGATTATTTTGATCGTTTACCTCTCTTGGGCTGTTTTAAATATATCTTTCCTAGGTTAGACTCTGAAATCCTTTCTGGTGTCATGAATTGCATGTTGCAAGGTTCCAGCTTTGGTTAAACGAGCAGGAAATTGCTGCCCCAAAATTTTCGGGGGGTATACCTGCTTCACAGCGTCTGACTTTCCCCATCCTAACGGTGTGAATTGCAGCGGTCAAGCTCTTCCTGCGGTGGCCAGCAACCGGCTGTGATATTTTTTCCGAATCGTGGGGTTTCATGATAGTTTTGAGGGACGCATTTGCAGTGGGGAAACGTCCCCTCTAGATGGCAGAAATGACAGCAGGAAAGCGCAGGGGCGACCGAGCGGCAAAACGCCGAGGTGCGGGACACAGCACTGGCCTCAGTCCGGTGGTCTGCGGCCACAGCGTGGGGACCTGCCGTGCTGTCACCAGATGGAAATGCCCGACCGCTGCCTGCCCAGCCCCCCTGCCAACGTTCCCAACGCTACGTGGCTGCCAGCCCCGAGCCCTGCCTTCGGGTCTCCCACCA